TAGTATTTTTTTTTTTCATGAAACACACATTCATTAAACAAAAGTACTCAGAGATACAACTGTTCGAGTAATCAACAGATTACAAAGGCTTCAATGACTATCTAGCCACTAAACCCAACGAGGGATCCAACCTGAGTTCCCCCTTCAAGACAACATTGGTCGAAATAATACACACAAACAATTCAACACAAAGAATAAGAAGAAAATAAAGAAAGCAAAAGCGTAATGTCTTCAACAGCAACACTCAGATTACAAGGAAAGCATGAGGGATCTTGAATCTTAGAGCACAAATGAGGATCTTTAAACTTTAGCTGCACCTTATCCCAACCTGCTTTAATCCCCTGCCCAAGCTAGTTTCTTATCTACAACATGATGTCATCCTCTGTGTTCATAACCTGGTGTTGTTGGAATTTCCAATCTGTTGTCTCTATTCCATTTTTAAAAGCCCTTGCTCTCAGAGTGAAATCCCCAGAGTGTGAGCGTATAGCATTGACCTCATCCATTTGAAGTCCTACTCCTGTGCTCTCATCTGCTGTCTTGGCCTCCTATTGGATTTCTTCAAACTCCAACCACTCATTTCTAGCCCTCTACACCAGCATCTGTTCTTCAATGAATTCTCCTATAAAAATCCAATTGTTGCTTGTTATCCACAACCACCATAAAATATAAGTGAAAGACTTACTCTATCTGTGTAATTCTGTTCCTTAGGAATTGAGCAGAGGTCTTCCCACCATTCTTGAAATGTGAGGAGTGGTTGCTTCATTTTAACCCATTCCAACTCTACTATCTTCCACACTTTGACAGCTCTATCACAAGTAAAGAAGAGATGCTCCAGATCTTCTTTTGCATTTCCACACCAACAACATATTTCATCCCCTTCAACTCCTTTTTGTTTAAGTCTTGCTTTTTTCCCCAGGTAGTCACGCCAGCATCTCCAAAGGAATGTCCTGAGTTTGGGTTTAATTGGTAGAGCCCAAATTCTTCTCCATACTGTCTGGTTGATATTAGAACTTCCACTGGCTGCATCCCTTGCCTGCAATTCTCTTGCTTTTGTTAAGATAAGATTATAAGCCCTCTTAACTGTCAATCTGCCAACCTATCCCTCACCCACCCCCCCATTAGCTAATATGAATCTTAAGAATATTTTCAGCATCAACAGGACTAAATGATTGTCTAACAAGCTCTTCATCCCAATATTTCTGCCCTACCACAAAAAGATCAGAGGCTCTATTTAAGGAGGTCCTATCACTCTGAAAATTACACACTGGGGTGAATTAGGGGAATTTGGAACCCAAGGGTGCTCCCAAATCTTAACACTTAAGCCATTACCAATTTGATACCTAAGACCCATCTTCAAATAAGATCTCACTCCAAGCCAACACTTCCACATCCACGAATCTACACTTCTCTTAGTAACAGTCATTAAGTTTTGATTGAAGAAATATTTGCCCCTAATGACTTTACTGATCAAGAGATTAGGACATGTATAACCCTCCACAGTTGCTTTAAGATCAAAGCATTATTCATAGCCCCAAATTGCTTAAAACCCAAGCCTCCATCTAGTTTAGATTTAGCTAACTTCTCCCAACTAGCCCGATGGATTCTATCTTTACCCCCCTCATTCTGACCCCATCAAAAGCTAGCAATCACTATACATATATTCACACAAACACCCACAGGAATCTTGAACATATACATAACATAAACAAATAGGGCGTTAAGAACTGATTTAATAAGGACATATTTTTCCAACTGAAAATCTTAGAAATCACACACTGCTTAACAAAATTAAAGGTCTCCTTTTTTTTTTTTTCCAATTCCCAAGGGTAACCCCGAGTATTTGGATGATTTCACAATTCCAATACCACAAAAAATCTGACAGATAGAAGCTTTCAGCTCAGAGGAGGAATTATTGGAAAAGAAAATACTAGATTTAGACATATTTCCAGTCTGACCTGAAGCAGTGCAATAGGACTTTAGAATATTCAAAAGCATAGCAGCATGAAAAGCATCTGCTTGACACAAAATAACAGAGTCATCAGCAAAAAAATAAGTGGGAAACAACAGGAGAATTTTACTTATCTTCAGACCCTGGAAACCATGAGAGAGACTGACTTGTTTTATAATCTATATATATATAATTGTTGGCTAATCCATAAATAAAACATTTAATAAAAAACTTCTCTTCTTTTTTCCGTCCAAAAACCTCTCTTTTTTTCAATTAATGTGGAAATGTTACATTATACATTAATGAAGTGTAATAATAATTTAAACTAATTTATTATGTAATAGTTACTACTAATATTAGCTAATTATAAATTTACATTAAATAGTATGTGAAAGTTACATACTTATAAAAAATTGTATTGCAATTTTGTTGATTAAGATACTTATTCTATAATAAGTATTATTTTTCGTCTTATTAAGTTGTTTTTCTCTAATATTAATTAATTGACATGAGTGTTATAATTAAACTCCTTAAAATTACATAAGTAATTACTATAACAACACAAAAAATAGTTGTAATACTTTTCTAACTAATTAATCTTATGATCCCTCTAAATTACAAAATTACATTGTTCATTAAAATTTATGTTATCAATATAAAAATTCACATGCAAGTTAAATAATTTATATTTATATTATACATTTGTGTATAGTAAAAAGTTTTAATGTAATGTACCCATTATCTAATTTTAAATTTTAAATATTGTATATATATATAATATGTAAATTTTATTTGTCTATGTGCATGTACACATGGACGAGTACTAGTATAAATGATTGAAGTCTAATCTATTACTATATAATACAGATAAGAAAAACTATTCAAACAATTCGAAAAAAAAATAATTTGTTTTCCCGCTTTATAATAGTCATTTTCCCGCTTATATATTTCGCAATTTTTTTTTGAATTTTTTAACATGTCCATCCCTTGCAATTGAAAACGTGTATAATAGGTTTGTTATAGATAACATGATATAAGAGATTCTAGTTTCCTTCAAATATGGAACCACTTTTTCTTCATGAGAAAAAATGGGTATGTATGTAATTTTGACCATATCTATTAAATTAGGAAAAACGTTTGAAAAAAAAATATAAATCAATTACAAGTTTTAAAAGTTTGTTATGTCCATATTTATCTAACCTAAAAATATTTCTAATGTTTGTATTTATCCTATAAAAAATTGATTGATATTTATTCTAACTTATCCACATATAATGCCGTAAACATCATTTTTTAATAATGCAACAAACAATTAAAATTAGTTTTGTTTCTTTTCTTCTTCCTCTTTTGTAAATTCAATATCTTAAACAATAATGAGTATTCATTTTTAATTTTTAATTTGGTGTGATTATCCTTTACCATAATAAAATAAATAGTGCATATTTATCTTATGATTTTATGGCGATCGATATCTTCAAAATTTTATGGTTTGACAAAAAATATTTCCGAATAAAAAAAATAAATTTTAAATATAAAATTAATGTAATCAAAAGGTTAATTTAATACAAAATATTTTTTAATAAATAAAATAAAATATGTATTCATTTAATCTAACACAAATTTTTTAACTAATTAATCATTTATCTAGCAGAATTTATCTCATTAACAAACTTACCAAATTTTTAGAAATTAAAATTGTACGATTCTTCTTAAAGATATAGTTACCAAAATACTAATAAACATTTTAGAAGTTTTCTATAACAAATATGAGTTATCTCGCATTTTACTTTATTTGAAATTTAAAATTATATTTTAAATATATTAATAAACGTGTATTATTTATTTTCTTCTTATGTGATATAATCTAAATTTTGTATTAGATTTTTAAATTCAAACATTTAACAAAAAATATCACAATATTTTTTTGGTACATTTCATTTTATCTTAACTTCCATATAATCACATTTCTAACAAAATAATTAATATAACATTTTTTATCCACATTTATCTAACCATATTTTTTTAAATATAATTAATATCTATTACTATATATTAGAGAGAGGACTTACTTGAAATAATATTAAAACTCCCGCTTAAAATTTTCTAAGTTATTATTATTAGTATTTTTCTTTGAAAAATGACGGCTGAATGAAAATTTGAATTCAAATTTTATAAAAAATATTGTTATTTGAGAAATATATTATGTAAACCTTAATTTCTAAAAATATGAGCAACGATTTCTTTAAATGCTACAGTTAGATCTGACGAATAATGAGAATGATACTTGAAAATTTTGCTTCCAAAAAATCCCATCTATTATTTCCTTCAATTTATTCGGTGAAACGTGTAAATTTGGTTACAAAAATCTGGTTAATCATTTACTGAATAAAACGTTGAAATCTTTTGAAATATTCTCGAAAAGTCATGACAACTTAATTGTTAAATATTTTTATATCCATATTTATTTATCTAAAAATCTCATATATTATGGCCACAACTAAAATTCGTATTTATCTAATAAAGAATGTTAATTTCTAAAATTAATTTTTTTTATTTTGGATTGTTCAATTTAGTTGATGAGTTTTGTGTCCATATGTATCGAACTACAAAATCTTTTAAAGTTTAGAAAGAATCTTATAATATGTGGATTCTTGGTACCTATTTTTTTTTACACATCTATTTTTTCATTTCATATCCAAATTATAAATTTTAATATGAATCTTAAATATCTCATATTTATTATATATATATATATATATATATATTTAAAAAGTATTACGATTCATATAATTAATTTTATCATATATCTGTGTTGGATATCATTGGTTTGGTTGGAGACACTCATTATATTCAAATAAACTATACATAATTTTTCATATTTTGTATTTCTTTCTTGCAATAATGAGATGTTAAATATATATATAATTATATTTAAAATAAAATTTTTAAAAATATTTTAAGTAACAAATCCGTTCGTGCATTGCACGGGACGGATGCGCACTAGTATAATATAAATGGTCTTCGCCACATTTTCCATTCTTTCTTTACATTTTTTTTTTTAATTAAGAATATAAAATACACGAACATTCAGCAGCCTGTATGTTGTGAAAGCGGCATCCCCTCGCCCATCGAAGAAGATGGCTCGATCTTCTTCGGGAGGAAGAGTAGACATCTCCGCTACAACGAAGAAGATCGATGTGGATAACCGAAAACCATTGCAGTTTTACTTTCGCATCGCGAATAATATTCTCAAGCAGGTAAAATCAGCTTGAGCTAACTTTCTTCCGCTGCGGAAAATTTCCGAACTAACGATTATGTATACGTGGGTGTGTCTTGTACGAGTCTGCTTCTTTATGTTGTAGAAAGTCCTATTACACCTTACTCTTTCGGGATTTGATTTCACGTATTGCTGATGAATTTATGTAAACTTATAGGGACGTGTGTGAATGGAAGTTGTTCGTACTTAGACAGTATCCTGAGTTATGCTAGAAAATTTTAGTTGAGTCTCTGTAGGATTTGGTTTCATTTCTCTATTTAAGTTTCAAGTGCATTATTTGTTATGAGTATGATACCTGAAGCTCTGTTTGGTCAATGACTTACAGGTATGACTATTTTATCGACTGATCCTTTGCAAGGGATGGTTCTTGTAGAGGAGTATCTAAGTTGGTCTGGAAATGGTTGGTGATATTGAAGCTAGGTTGTATAGGCTTATTCTCTTTGTGAGTGTTATGGAAGTTTCAGTAATTTTAGAGGTTCAAATGGGAATTGAAATTTGAAACTTTTGTATGTTATTACGTGAAGTTTGAAAGTGGTTGTTGGGACTCGGAAGAATATCATCATTTAGATACAGGGTTGTTTTTAGATAAAATGGCAAGTTGAATATCCAATGTGCTATGAGGATAGAGGGGTAACTAGCATCAGTAATATATTAAAGCAGGTAGTAAGATTTTCTATATAATCATTGCAATGTGGCTACGACATTGCGTTTTTACCTAACGCTGACCCTACATAAAAGTATTAACGTGTTTTCAGAAACTATGTTGGGTTAGATTGAGGATTGCGGTCCAAAAACTTTTGATCTGTGGTTATCGATTCTCAGTGGTCTTTAATCATTTGGTATTACATATCACTAGAAAAATTATGAGAAAATAAATTGGATAAGCAGCTTGTTAACTTTAGAGTTTAGAGATTTGCCAAATCACCCAGGGGCAAGGTGAATTTACAATAGCTGATTCAATATCCAATCTCTCTCTGGGTTTATCAAATAATAGCTTGTTGACTTGTTTGACATTGAGATAAACTAGAATGTGTAACCAACCTCAGATATCATAAATCAGATATTGAATGTATTCGAAAACCAACCTCACATGATTGCCTTAGTTAGCTAGTGTATCTGCAGTGCTGTTCAGACTAAAGTTGGAATGCTACTTTAAGGCATATGGAAGCAGTTGTCCATATGGTTATTCGAACATCTGGACTTAGCCTGAATAATCACTCCCCTGAAAGTGACTTGTGCTTTAATTGGTGATTACACGTAGATCTTAAGCCAATACCGTTTTGATGGTCAAATTCTATTCTATGGTTACTGACCTGTTTTGATATATCTAAAGAGAAAATTCTACTGTCTTGATGTGAATTCTGCTGCACATTTTCTTTGAAATCAGTTGCCTTCAGAGTGCTGTCCCAAATGGTTTGCTTGTGTGAATGTGTTTTTTAATTTTACACATGACATTTTCAGTTACAAAACTTACACTTCATTCACATGATAAGAAAATATGATAGTTTGATTCTCTCGTTTGAACTTCTACATCCTTTTGTGGTGAATTTTCAAGTTCCAATTATTCCATTTGGATTTGTTCTCAAGCTACTACGTCAATCATGTAGTTCAGTATCAATAATTCAATATATTTACTACACGACCCTGTTTGATTATCTATTTTTAGAGTGGAACATTGTTTTCATTTATTATTGTTTTTTTCTTCGTTGTGCAAATCACCAAAGTAAATGCTCTTTGGATGCTCCGCATGCAGATCATGTTTATTCGCTTAGTCATGTCATTAATTTTGTCCATTGTATCTAATCATTTTTCCGCCTCCTGTGATATTTATACTTTGTATTATGTATATGTTCCAATAATGCTGATAGTAACATCCAGCCACACCATGAATCAATTATATCTTTTCCATGTAGGCTGACATCTTCCGGGAAGAAGGAAATATTGTTGACTTGTATGTTATGCTGCTTAGATTTTCAAGGTGAGAGGTGTTATGTAATTTTTTAGTGGATAGGGTCAGGTATCACGGAGTATGGAAAACTGGTTTAATGAAAGCTGCATGTTTTCTTTTGTTTTAGTCTGGTCAAGGAGACAATTCCTTGCCATCGAGACTATAGAACACTTGCACAAGGCAATAGAAATGATCTGAAAAGGGTAACGATTTACAACTATATGTCTTTCCTCTTTATTGCAACTTTTAGTTTCATTACTTTTGTTACTTTATTAAGATTTGGTTTTATCCTTAACCTGATGCAGAGACTGATAACTACACTGACTGAGCTTGAGGAATTGAAACCAGCCGTTCAAGCAAAACTTCAGGAATTACAAACCAGACAAATTTGTCAACTAAACAAGCAGCAAAGTTCTTGGAAAAATGACACTCAGGTATCTTCAGTTGAATGGCCCGCCGTCAAACAAAACTGGAACAGTTATAATACAATGAAGGTATATTTCTTGCAGATGTTCAATACTTCAATTTGGTACTGTCTCATCAGGGTGTATAATTGTTTAGGCTTAAATGCCTTACATGCTGGACTTTTTGTCTAATGATTCACTGAACTTACCTGGTGTTCTGATGAAGCTTGTATAATTTCTAATGAACTACATGTGATTTGAGCTCCAGTTAATGTATTTCTGCTAAAACATATAAAGAGAAAAATATATTTTATTATTCATTATCTTATAGACACTGCAGCCAGTTTCTAGCAAATATGGGTATCAAGGTTTGAAGTCTCACTCGCACATGAAACTCGTGGTGGAGCATCTGCATCGAACGTAAGTTGCTTTGGTTCACATCTGTGATTTTTTTGGCAGAAGATAAAACTTAACTCGCTGCTTTTATATATATATATATATATATATATATATATATATATATATATTATTAACGGACTTGATCATAGAAATAGTTATACGCCTTAAATAAGGTGCATCACATGTGTTTATAATTTATTTGGGAAAACTGAGATGCTTTGGGCAGCAAAAGAGGGGTATGGTTGTTCAGCAGTTGATTGCTGATTGTAGAACCTGGGGTTTTGATTCTTTACTTCTGAGGCTTGAGAGTTTGTTTGTCATGACATGGTACAAGCCACAAATTTACTTCTATATTAGTATTTTCATTTTGCTAGAGAATAGTGATTATAAAAATTTAATTGAGAAAAGAAAATGAGATTGAGACTGTGATTAGGTATAAGCTGATAATGTATAATGATGATGCAGTATAAAATTTTATAAATTAGTGATTGAAAGTTAGAAGTATGTGAGTGAACTAATACTGAAATAGTGAATTGTGTAGGGAAATATGTACTACTGATTACTAATTTGATGACTTTTGGAAAATGAATTGAAGTGATTGATCTTTGATGGAAGAGTAAAGTGGAAATGATTGAATAGTATCTTTTCTGAAAATTCTCTTCAGCATTTGCATATAAGTTTTTCTCTAGCGGAACGGAAGTGAAAATGAGATGGTGACCAATTGTGCCCTATCTATAATCTGTCCACATAGATCTGCCAAGAAGTCAAGAGTTACAACATGTGCTCTTTGAAAGTTTGAATTAGAACTGTATGCAAGTTTCTAAATCCTATTCATCATAGATATAGATTTTTCAGGAGTTTAAGTGTCTTCCAATCGTCATTGGAGAAAACATTAATGCTTATTGAATTAGATAGAAGTTTTCCATTTCATTATACACAATGGCATTTTGTTGCCTTTCACTGTAATGCCGGCAGATTTTTTTGTTATTAGAAGCACGTATTAGTATTAGCTTTAACCTTCCATGACAGCTGAAGGGATTGAGGATTGGTGCATGGTTTCTTAATGCAATACCACTTCTTAGTAAGTTTGAATGAGACTTGGGGTATCTTTTCATGTTTTAATAACTGAATTCTTGTTGTTTGAGTAAATAAATGTAAAGAACTGGATTTATCATGTTAATATTTATGTCATCGTTCTTTCAATCTGTTATTGGTGTCTATAGTGTTTACTCTCTCTCTCTCTCTCTCTCACTCTCTCATTGTTTTCATAGATCATTAAGTCTTCCCCGTCCAAAGGAGGAAACACTTTCTAAACATTCTATCTTGGGCCCAAATGGGCTTCGTGGACAATGGCAACCTCCTAGTAATTATAAGGTGTTACGAAAATCCCCTGCTATATATGATATTATGTTGAAGCAAACATTATTCTGATTTTATTATACAACTGCAGGTCCAGTATCCAAGCCATGTAGACTTTGCTCTTCAGATCCCTAGGTTTAGCTAATATCAAACCTTCTCATATATTTTATATTTTTGTTTCTCAAAAGTCAGTGCTTAATTCTAGGATTGTCACAATTTATAAAATGCACGTGATTTGTGAAGTATGGTTTTTGATCTTTAGGGTTAGTAACATTCCACATGCTGTCAAAGATGAGACCACAACCATGGAGGATGATGTTAACTCAGAACAAGAAAAATCAAATCTGGAAGCTGTGGTTCAACCGAAAAATGATGGCCACCTGATTAAAGAATCGGATTCTCTAATTTCTTTTGAAACTGTTGAAAGTTCTTCACCAACTGAAATTATCAGGCAACCCTCTCCTCCTCCTCTTCTAGCTGATGTACAGGATTTGGTCCCAACATCAACTGCAGCAACTCAGGCAGAATGTGGAATAGCAAGCTCTTCAACTGATGCTTTACCTTGCTCTGAAGAACCCTTGCAGTTGCATATAGTAAAGCTTTTATATATTGTTTCCTACATTACTATTCTTTTCCACAGTCTGAATGTGATTTAACTTTCATGAAGCTTCCAGAACTTATGGAATTATGATTTTGCCTCTTCTTGTATCAGTCAACTGAACTGATGAACAGTTTTATGAAGCTAGCGAAGTCAAACACAGATAAGAACTTAGAAACATGTGGAGTCCTTGCTGGTTCCCTTGTAAGTGACGCTGACCTTTTGGTCTTCTTAATCCCTGACGCACATGTGATCATTTTAGTTTGTGAAAATATTTCTCTTTGTTCATTGTTAACGAAAGCTTCATCTGTAATTGTGTCAGAGAAACAGAAAGTTTTTCATTACTGCCCTCATTATTCCGAAGCAAGAATCGACATCGGATTCAGTAAGCCACACTGCTGCATATTTAAACATACACAACCTTAAATTTGTTGAATGTGATTTGGTTACTAAATTATTTTTATCGAGCAGTGTCAGACAACGAATGAGGAGGAAATATTTGAAGTGCAGGACAAGCAGTCTCTTTTTCCACTGGGATGGATTCATGTAAGACATCTTATCCCTTTCATAAAAGCTGACTTAGCAGTTGTTCTCCTTCATTAGGATAATTACCCTCCTAAGGCTTGTATTTACCTTGCAAATGCCTTCATCTTGAGGTGCACTTCTGTTTGACCAATAAATGTGGAAATTGGGTACTTAGTAATTTAGAAATATAGTTTATTTTAATAGGCTAAATGCCAGGGGTAGTACTTAATTCTTTTGGTTATCATCCAACTTTGCTATGTGTTTCTCTGTCTTTAAGTAATAGTTTACTCTAAAAATCTCCAAGTTTTGTTGTGCATATTGGGTCAGTTCAACTTTCGTCAGTCTCAAGTTGGCTGCTAATTAATTTATTTTTGGAGACTTGATTGAGCTCAATAGGGGCGAAGCTTGCATCTTGCTTCAGTGTGAGCATCTTTTTCAGATTGTATCCACAAGTGCTAAATTTATTTATTTTCTAACATTGTTCCATAGTTGATTTCAAAACAAGGATAAAACATTAACTGCACAGCAGTGTTAGTTGAATAAAATAAATGAAAAAAGCGCAGTAGTAAAACATACTGTAAATATTATCCCATCCTATTCAACAAACTCAACTCTACAAAAATATCTTGTTTGCCGTCGGTTTTGGTGAATCTGTGTACTTTAAGCCAACAAATACAACAATAACAACATACCCAGTATATTCCCAACAGGTTGGGGTCTGGGGGGTCAGTTGTACGCAGACCTTACCCTTGTAATTATACAAGGAGGCTGTTTCCGTAGCGACCCAAGGTGCATTGCGCCGTTTGATATATTTTTTTTTTTCTAGAAACTTTACTAATAGAAGAAGCACTAGAATTTAATTGAGCCATTTTGATCTAGTCCATTATTAACTATGCCAGGAGAATTGTCAACAATGACTCTTCCAGCTCCATTTGCAATGGACAATAAACTTTAAGCCAACAAATAACAGGAAAAAATCGAAACCTAAAGAAACATTTCTGGTTCTGTTAGCCCAGAAACAACATTTAAAACTTACAAAAACAATAATTTAAACTTTTAAGCAATGGAATAAAGGTTCAGTATAAAGGGGAATTGGACTATGTCATCTTCCTGAACATCATTTGCCAATTTCCTGTACTGTACTGTTTCTTGGCTTCTTCAGCTTCCTCCATGGCGGCTGAATATTTTCGTTCTTGAGGTTCTGATAATTGATAATAATTGACTTGTTTGCCCCCTTCATTTTGTTTTCTGAAAGCAGCTATCCTTAGCCTATAAACTTGAATTTCATGACATTGGACTCGCAATCTGCTTTGACCTTTCAATTCAATCTAACCTTCCAAATGCCTCTTTCACTTCAAAACATGAGACAGGAGATGATTGATAATCAATCTAATTGATCATGGAAATTTGATTAACTTCCAAATAATCTCATGATTACTTGATGTGAGTCAACATCCTTATCAAAAGTTTACTACGACGGACTATTGCATGGAGTATATTATATACAGTAATTTTCATGAAGTTGAACGATGAGATTATTCAAGCCTCGTTGGTGGAACATGTTCTATCTAGAATGAATACTAGATAAAAACTTTGGCAGTACTTGATATGGATAAAGTGCTCGAAATTGCCTGAAGGATATGCCAAAAATTGTGTCATTGATTTTTTGGAGGTTTGACTGATTGGTTTGCTTGGGAAACGGCCAGAACATGAACACGACGTGGCTTGGACTCAGTTTCCTGGATATGGGGGTTCTCAATTTGAATTATAAAATTTCAGGGGGGTTAACAAAATAAATGAAACATGCTAGGTAATTCAAAAATATGCCTCTAATTAATCTCTCTTTAACATGATATTTCTGAGAATATTCAAACTGTGTGGGAAAGAAAAAATGACTTGAATAGAAAGGTTGGACTTATTACAGTTGTCCAGGAAAATAGAGAAGGATTTGAAAGAACATAATAATGGATTTAGGGATTTGCAGATTTTGGAAGAAGATGAATACTCATTAAAAACTTATTCGGGACTGAGCTTGACAGGTAACAGTAAACTAGCGCCGTGGAGATTTGGCTGGATGGGTAGAAATTGGGCCAGATGAGTAAAAAACAAATAAATTATATAATTCCATGTACTCATCTTTCAATACTTCAAATTACAGGAGTTTGTAGGGCAAGACTTTTTCCTTTTCATGGGTACTTAACAAAAAGAGGATGCGAACATGATTGGAAATTGTTTTCCCCGTCTCTCTTTTGTTCTTTCTTTCGCTGTTAAGTCTTAAGTTGCAAGTTTATGGAGATGTTTATAATTGATATTTACTTATTGTTTTGCAGACGCATCCTACTCAATCTTGTTTCATGTCATCAATCGATGTTCACACCCATTACTCTTACCAGGTATGCTTCGTTTGTCTTTCTAAAGTACTTCATAAAATAAGCTACCAAGTTACCAACAAGATTTTGCATCCCTCAATTGAATACCAATCTTTAGAAAGCATGTTGGTATTGAGTACTTCATAAAAGAAGCTACCAGCAACATTTTGCATACCGCAATTGAACACCAATATTTAGAAAGTATGTTTGGTTTTCTTCACATTACGAGAATCTATAGAAAGGTAAAATGTCTCTTTAGCCCTATATTTTTATGGTATGTTGCAATTTGCAAGTCTGGTAATAAATATGCTTTCTTTGAATTTCAAATTTGCTCCCACCATTTGGCTTTTAGTTGCTACTAGTACTTGATCATGTTTGCATAAGTATTATAAGTTATATGTATGCATATAATATTAAAATTATAAGTTAGATAATGATATGATCATAACAACATAAAAATGTTTAACTACATATGAATTACTATACTGATTGCATAAAATGTAATGGATAGTTTAATTTTTGTAAGTTTGAGGGTTCTTGACCAATTAATTATCAAAAATGAAATTATTATTATTATAGCAATTGTTATTTTAAGGGTTTTGGTTATGCCACTAAAAAGCTAATTTGGAAAAAAAAAAATGAGATGAAAAAAAAAGGTATTGATTTAAAAAACTAGCTTGAAGAAAAAGTTTTGCCATATAGTTTTTGATACTTATGTAACTTCCATATACCATTTAGTGTGAATTATAGTTAATTAGTTCTAGTAGTAACTATTATATGATAAAATAAATAAAGAAATATTGTTACACGTTAATTAATATAAATGTAGCGTTACCATAATTAACTGCAAATATGGGAGGGAAATATCTTCATTGGATAGCCCACAATATATATATATATATATATAGGTTGGTTCAAATAAAAATTAGTCTTGGTCGTGAAAACCGTTTTTTATGCTATTTTTAATTGTGTATGATGCTATTTTTCATATTAGATGATGCTATCATTTTTACAAGTGCCACCAGAAATTGTTGCTATTTTTAATAAAATTAATCCTGGTTAAAAATAGCATCAAACACAATCAATCATAGCACTACGCCCAAATAAAAATAGCAGTTCTCACGGTTTTCACACTAAGACTTGGTTCTCATTTGAACCCAATGACGGAGGTGTATTGGGCCCAGGGGGGTCCATGGCCCCCCTCATTTTTTTTCAATATATATATATATATATATATAAGAAAATACTATAAAATATGTATAACATATATATATATATATATATATATATATATATAATTACACAAAGGATCATGCCTCACCAAATTGAGATGACATGTACAAGCTCCAAATCTATAACTCTTCAAACCAACAACCTCCATACAGTTTTTGTGCCTACCATTCATTGAACTCAAATATGTACTTCTATGTACAATGTTGTAGATTTACTAAAAATTGAAGATCTAGTGTGTAGAAGGACAGGTGGCAAGCCATCATTTAGTAGATCAGGGTAAATCATTAGGGTTCAGCCATTCAGGTCAGAATTCTCATGGGATATAATTTAAAGTTCCATGTTTCTATCATAAATAGTGGATTCTTCTAAGTGTATGATAACATTAACTCTATATTGAAAAGATGTGACAATGGAAAGAGTAGCTCGTCTTCATCACATTTCCTGGATCTTTGAAGAGGTGATTGGATTATTTCTTTCTGTTCCGTGTCAGAGATACAAAAACTGGATAAATGACATAGTAAGGGTAACTTCACATACCCATACTGAATAACTTCAACACCAGCACCAGCCAAGCCTCGTGATACAGCATCCTGAAATAATTAGAAATCACTTTCAGCTGCTGAAAGAATCAGCAGGGAAGCCATTAAACCACAATAACATTTGCCAGAAACATGCCACATTCACTGCCCACATGGCAACGAAGATAGCTCAAAACTATGGAAAGACTAAACTAAAAAAATAATCATCATTCATTAATTTGCGGACTTTCCTAAACAACGAAAAAAAAAAAAAAATTGGCACAACATAGATAAGAACCCATATGATATTTATTGTTGTGGTGGTTATTATTATTATTGGTAGTAGTATTAGCAGTCCGAACAAATTGAAATTGATGTGCTGAGTTCAACGATTGCAAAAACTGGCTTATTCATGTACACAATCATATAGTTGTGGGACTCTAAGAGCATTATTTTCCATTACGACAGGTAAAATAGACGTGCAATTACCATCTCCTTCAAAAAAAGAAAAATTAGAAAACCAAAGTCAAGCTACAATGTTAGTAGGCTTTTTGAATAAAGATTTTTTCTCGGAACATAGGTCAGCACACACATGCTAAGCTTATATAAAGTGAAAGCTTCCCTACCATCATGTTAAAAAAAGCACTCAAAAAAGAGTAGGATCCTCCATTCAGCATATGGGATAAAAACATTCAGAACCAGTCATCTGAAAAGAACCAAAATCATCTGGAAGGGAACTTGCACTTTGACATATATAATTGGCTTCTTAAACTCTTGAGCTAAATACCATATCTTTTCCAACAATCTCATTTATGAAAATACAAGCCCTTTTAGTTTAAGCACCCTTTGTACTCATGAACATCAATCGGTTGCCCATTTTAGATACTGATACCATCATACCACCCATCATCCAGATACTCTCTTCTGGAACAATGACATCTGGCGCACTTTTCACCACACAAACAAGTTACTATATTGGGACAAGGAAACGTGAGAGAATACACTTAGCATGATAATGTGAGTTCAGTGTTGACGTCGATAAGAACCAGTGTCCTCAAGATTAATTTAATTCACAATATGAAGCACCAATACCTGTAACTTCTGAGCGGATATTCGTGAATCATGGCCTATTGAGACTTTCAACTGTCTAGAAGCAGCAGGCTTCTTCTTATTCAGCAACCATTCAACGAAAGCAGCTGCAATGGCTTCTGTAACTGGTTCAGTGAGGTTAATAGGTTCGCCCTCAACACCATCTATAGCAACACCTCGAATGTCACTGTTCCAGAAAGATGACAATATCAGCATATTAGGGATATAAAGTGGAGCCTTTGGTGAAATCATAATTTGACTACATAAAAGACAATAAAGAGCACCACTAAGTGAAAAAAGTTGCTAGCAGATCCCACTACGCAAGACTCAGACGCAGATCTCCAGATTGGACCATGCGGTAATATTAAAACATTTGAGCACAAACATTAAACTATGACGGATCAGAGGTTTTACTTAAACCTATTCTCTTCAATATTCAAAAGCAGTACGACAATCAGCTACTTTGTGAAGAAGACGTGAAACCTATGCAGAACTTCAATTCCACAAACTAAAAGTATTTAGCAGCATACGACACACCGAGATGCATAACACTTGTGACTTGGGCAGTATTAAATTAAAAAAACTAGGTAACTAAAAGCCTAGAAACGTAACTAATACTCAGAAACTCAGAAAAGCTGATAACATCTCAAGGAGATTATCGGAAGAGAAGGAAAGAAATAGTGTGTGAGAAAAATTCTGATCAATGACTGGAAGCCTGTTCAGTCATCTATGTGTGTAACAACATAATTTTGTCACATGGCTAAATCAATATCCACGTCAGGCGAAATTCGAGATAACAAAATAAAGAAATAGAACAAATAATATTTGTTCTGACCTCCCATTTTGAAGCTTGAGAAAAGCACTTCTGTCAACAGGTTGTAAGATGGTAGCATATGCGGCTGCTGCAAAGACAAAATAGAGGATGTATAAACACAGTGTTTGTGACTGACAACAAACTAATAATTACCAACAATAATAATCTGCTATATGGAAAATGAGCAAGGATGCTAAT